CTGAGTCAGTAAGCTCCAGTGCTACACTGTAGTAAGTTAATCAGGCCATTAGTTGGATCTGTCGGTATCATAACCTATTCAACACACCTAGGGTCATTTTCTCAATACTTACACATGACTCTCACAAACATATACACACACAGTAAAGTGAAGTGTCAAGAGCCCTCACCCCCAGCAGACACACATGCATGCTCACACACACATTGCAGGAGGGGAGAGCTGTAATTTCAGATGTTTATTGACAAACAGATCCAATCCTTCTGAGATGTTCACTGGTGATCAGTTTACCTCTCTCTCCCTCTCTCTCTCCCACACTTGCGCTTGGCCTTTCTCAGTGTACACCCTGTCACATTTTGGCTATTTATTGATTTGCACTTTTTAAAAATTCCACTCCTATCGCTTAACTGTCCATCACTTTGCTCCCACCCATGGTGAGGTTATTGGACCAATTACTCAGATTAGAAACCCAAAAGCCTGGGTTGAAAGATGACTGCTGGGTGGTGCAACTACCATCTCAAGGTCACTCTGACAGTGTGTGCGAGTGCATGTGAATGGTTTTGTGTGTGCTGCAAGCCCCTAGTTACTATTTGATTTGAAAGATGAAGGAAATGCAAGAGACACAATGTGTGAGAAAGAAGTGAAATATCTGCTGTCATGAGATTCAACATGGAGACATCCCTGTAGTGTAATGTCAACTAAGGAACAGGCACTGTGATGCCCTGTGACAGACAGACAAATAGACAGATAGGACAGACAGACAGACAGATAGATAGACAGATAGATCAAGAAAGAGGAAATGAGAATGTAGGTGAATTAAATAGGAGTGTGTGCTACACTGTGTCTCACAGACTGCAGAGATGACTGCAGCACGGAGAGAGAGACCCACACTGAATACCAATGGACCTACTATGGTAGACCAATACATAACACACACAGTCACACACACAAACCATGTAAACAATCAAACAACCAGTGTCAACACATGGACCAGCTGACTAGCAGATGCTCATAGAGGTTAACAGACAGACTGAGACAACACCCGCAAAGAACACACACACACACACACATTTGGAAATAAAAGTTAAAAAGTAATGATTATGTACAGAGAAATACTGCTGTCTAACAGCTGGGTACTGGCTGGGGTGGGGGGGTCCACCAACCAGCCAGCAACCAGCACGAAAAAAGTTTTTTTTAATTACTTAAGCAGGATAATATAAAGAGCAAAGAAAGCAGTGTGAAGTAGTTTGTTGACAGAGCAGAATGAATACAGCATGTATAGGTTTCTAAAAACATTTTAGAAACATATGCTATGAGTTCACTTGGAAATGCAAAGTACTGAGTCTTTTTAGATACTTGCTGATAAAAAGGTGTAGATGGTATTAATTACTGCCTCAACTACTGTTTCTAACACAGGACTAATGTAATAAAACTATAAAAATTTACTTGTTGGTTATTTAAATCTTGTGTATTAAGTCCATCTTGAGGCTGTCCTCCTGTGTCACCAGGTTATTATGGTGAAATGTTACATGTTATAACATGGCAACATCTAACAATCACATTAATGATGACACAAGGAAAGGACTAAGTATATATAGGCACAAAGTTTAAGCTGGGAAGTTGTGGTGGATAGCTAGGTGTACAAAATACAGGACTTTCCCACACAAAAGCAGCGTTCAATTCCAGTGTGTGGCTTATGTTTTTCAAGAGTTTTTGTTCCTAAACGTAACAACGTGGTTTTGTTCCTAAATGTGACCAAGTAGTTTTTCTCCCTAAACCTAACCAAGTATTTTGTGTGGCAAAACGTAATGAAAATGAGATGGGTTCATAATTGTAACATCATGTTTATGACAGTTTCCAAGACGACAGAGTTCCAGTAGCTTGCTGCTAGCTAGCCATCATAGTAGGGACAGAAGGACGTTCTTCAGTTACATTACATATTCTCACTTAGTCTACAGGTAATTAGTTCAGGGTGTCGATTTTTTAGGCATTACTGTGCTACTAATAGCGGGCAGGTAAACAAAAAATGACTAAGGTGAAAATATTTTTAA